CTGCCAGGCCGGCAGCGCCACTCTGCTCTGGAGAAAGCCTGGGCTGGCCCCGGCCACAGGCTCCTGGTGGCTTCAAGTGATGAGATTTTTTTCTTTTCTTTTTTTGTCTTTTTTTTTTTCTTTTCCATTTCGTTGAAATATTTACAGCAATGGGGGAGGAGGAGGAGGAGGAGAGAGGAAGGGATAAGAGGGCCCCCTAGGGAAAGATCCAAGCCCAGGACCCACTCCCCAGGGAAATCCAGACCCAAAATCTGCTTCCCAGATAGCCAAGCCCACAGGACTGGGAACTGCCCAAATATGGCCACCCCTGTGGGCTGGGGGCCCTGCAGGGAGTTGTGCTTCATCAGGAGTCACCCCAAGGGAGGGAGTCATTGGGTGCACTGGGAGGCGGAGGGGGCAGGCTTGCTTGGGGGGGCAGGGACCAAGAGCAAGGGTAAAGGAGCTTCAGAGAAAGTTCAACCTTTAAACCACTGCTCAGTCCCCCTGCCTGCGGCCTTTTCCTAGTCTCCAAGGAGCAGAGAACTGTAGCGCAAGGAGGAACGTGTCCATGCGTCCTGCCTCGCTGCTCCCTCCGGGTGCAGCCAGCAGCATTTCTGACTGCAGAGAGGGGCAGCTGACAGGTGCTATCCAGTGGGGGCCTTCGGCAATCTCAGAAGCTGCCCTCCCTGCCCAGGGAAACTAAAGCCCTCATTTTCCTTCAGGCAGTCAAGGGTGAGAGAGGGGAGAGTCTGAAAGTGGGCTGCACCCTTCCAAATTCTCCCTCCTCACTCCCCTGGGACCTCTGGGCTCCTCCTCACTACACTTCCCCTAAATAGAGCTGGTGCATGTGGCTGGTGGGAAACCCTGTCTGTGAACCCTGGCACCTCGGGCCCCTAGGTCGGAGTCCCTTGAGGGGACTGTAGGGCCCATGGCCGAGGGGCATCAGGAGAGAGTGGCCCACCAGCCACTGCCTCCATCTGTCTCCCTCTTCTACCAGAGCCTTGACCAGGGTTCCCTCCCTGGCCTGGGCCACCAGCCCCTGGTCCATGAGGTCCCCTCAGAGACTGGTGACCAGCTGCATCTGCCCGTCCCCATCGGGCCCTGGCCCCTCAAGGCCTGGGGCTGCCAGGTAGCCCTCGTGGCTAGGCCGCCGCACCTGGTAGTAGCCCTGCAGGGGATTCCGGGCGACCAGGGCTGGCGGGCGCGAGGTGTAGTAGATTTCAGGGGGGCCGGGGGGTGCGGGAGGGGGTGGGGGCAGGGCCTCACTGGGCCCCTCAGGGCTGCTGTCCGGGTAGGAGGGTGAGTCCCGCAGGTTGGCCCCGCTGGCATAGAGGGAGTCCCGGCCCGGAGGGGAGGAGAGGGGCCGGCTGGTAGCGCCGTCCTCGGCTGTGCAGCTCTCCGACTCGTCCAGATCACTCTGGTACAGCACCGACTGGGCCCGGGGCAGCAGCAGAGGCTCCTCCAGGGCCTTATAGAGAAGTTCAATCTCCGCCCGGTCAGCACCCCCGGGCCCGCCTGCCTCTTCCTCGCCCCCGCCCCCTGGTACAGGTGGCACAGGGGGCTCAGGTGGTGGAGGGCCCTTGGCCGCACTGCTGCTCCCCCGCAGGTTGTTGTGCACCAGCTCTGAGATGATCATCTTCTCGAAGGCCGCAGCATCGGCCAGGTTCCGGCCTCGGGGCGGCTCGGGGCCCCCATCCCCGGGAGGAAAATCCCCGCTTCGCAAGGAGTAACTGTTGTTGAAGTTGCCGTTCAGGGGCAGGGTGTCCATGCCACAGGCTTCCCGGCCTCCCAAGGGGTGCTCTGCAGGGCAGAAAGGGGCTGGTCAGGTGGGAGAGGGGCCCTGGCTGCACTAGGGGGCCGTGAGGGGATATGGTCCATGGGGAGAAATGGGGCTCCATTCCTGCTGGTTTTCTGTGGGCTTCCCACTGCCCCATGGGAACTCTTGGTCTGACACTCCCTTTCTCCCTCACTGGCAGTAGAGACAGCAGCCCAAAAGCAGATTGGTTAAAGTTGGGGGACAAGGACCAGTTCCCCCAGGGTCTCGTCCCCCAGCTGGAGGTTCAGAATGTCAGCAGTATGAGGAGGCTTGGGCGACAGGATCCCTTTCCTGTGCCCAGACCCTCATACCTAAAGGCCCAAACTCAATGACCACCGCCCATTATCCTCCATCCGGCTGCCAGCCAGACTGTTCGGTGGGGATGGGGGGGGATTGGGAGGGTATCCCAAGTTGTCCTCCTTAAGTGAGCCTATCTGAGAAGGCCACTGTCTGTCCTTCTCTGAGTCTCGGAAACATTTCCAGGGAAGAGTCGCACTTACTGGGTTCCCGGTAGCTCCCTGCAGGTGGCAGCCGGGAGAGAAAAGAGAAGGCAAGGGTGAGCTTGAAATGCCAAGTCCAGGCTCCAGTTCTGGCGCATAGAACATCCCAGGCGGGGCCCCTGGGATGCAAACCCCACACTTCCCGACTTGGATGCTTCCCCTGTGCCCTCACCTGGGGAGTTGAAGACAGGGGGCGAGGAGGGATTGAAGCCCACTGACTCGGCGATGAGGGTGTTGTAGGGGCTGGTGCCCCCGCGGGGCTGCAGCACAGGGTTGGTCAGCAGGTGGTTCCCCATGGTACCTGGCCAAGGGATCAAAGGTCACAAGGTGGCCGGGAGCCTCGAGGGACCAGAGCCAGCGGCAGAGGGACCCTTCTCACCTCGGTTCAGGGTGGGGGTGCTGTTGATGTCACCCGCCATGAAGGAGGACTCTGTCTGTTTCCTCACAGTGTCATTCCACATCCTCCGAATTCGGCTCTGGGGACACAACCCAGATGTGAGGGGACCTTGGGCCACCTACCCTCTGGCATCTGAGACTGCTCTCGCGATCATCACCATCACAGACCCAGGCCAAGCCACTCCCCGCCTCTCAGGCTCCAGGTTCCAACACTCAGCCCCAGGGAGCCCTGCCTGGCATACCTGGGTCCCTGTGTAGTAGCGGGTGTTGCTTCGCATGGCTGAGGTCTTGAGGGACCCGTGAGTACCCCCAGGTGGGGAGCGGATGCAGCAGTAGGAGTGACGCAGGCACTTGCTGTACTCCTTATGCACCTGGGGGACGAGGAGGATAGTCAGCTGGCCGGGACGCTGGCCTCCTCTGTGATCAAGCCTCTCATAGGGTTGGCACAAGAGAGTCTCAGGAGGCCGAAGACAGAGTTTCCAATGACTGTGTTCCCCTGCTCAGTGACTTGCAAGCCACAGAAACCCTGCTGTCCCCTGTCCCCCAACAGCCAGCTGATCAGGTTCTCCACTGACCGTTTTTCATTCATTCATAAAAGCAACAGAGCATTAATAAGTATCCGCTATATGCCAAGCACATATTAGGCCTCGGGGATGGTAGAGAAAACAACAGACACAAATGCCTACCTCTCAGAGCTTATATTTCAGGAGACAGAGACACAACATACATGAAAATATACATATGCAGGCTATCAGATGGTGTTAGATTCTGTGGAGAAAACTATGGCTGGAAAGGGGGCTAGGCAGTGCTGACTTGGAAGCAGGTTGTGATTTTAAATAGATCAGGGAGCATGGTAGTTCACACCTGTAACCCCAGCTCTTTGGAAGGCTGAGGTGGGCAGATCACCTGAGGTCAGGAGTTCGAGACGAGCCTGGGCAATATGGTGAAACCCCTGTCTCTACTAAAAATACAAAAATTAGCCAGGTGTGTGGTATGCACCTTAATCCCAGCTACTTGGGAGATGAAGGCAGGAGAATTGCTTGAACCCAGGAGGCAGAGGTTGCGGTGAGCCAAGATCACACTACTGCACTCCAGCCTGGGTAAAAGAGTGAGACTCTATCTCAAAATAATAATAATAATAATAATAATAATAATAATAAAAGACCTAAAAAATAAATAGATCAGAGGAAGCCCAGGGCAAGGACAGGGGCTGTACATTTAGGTGTCTGAAAGTAGAGATAGGGAGGGGAACCGAGGGTCCCAGATCAGACCATAGGGACCTGGGGGCCCCTGAAAGGGCATCACTGTCACTGTGTGTGAGGTGGGGGCTGTGCAGACACTGCCTTTGACTGTGTGTCCAAGAAGGGACCAGGATAGTGTTGGGCAGAGCAGAGACACAGACCACCTCTTCCCTTGGAACGAGAATTCTCATGACTGTTGCCTCTGCCATCCCCTGCCTTAAACCTTACCCGCCTCACCACTCCCTAAGTCCAACAGCAGTCTTCATGGCTCGCACTGCTGCCAGGGCCGATTCGACAAATGCCTCAGCTCTGTCTCCCCAGCTTCAGTCCTTAGAGTGCTGCCTGGACCCTCGCTCCCTGCCCACGTTCCCCTGATACTATTTTCCCTTGTTTTTTTTAAATAGAGATGGGGGTCTCTATGTTGCCCAGGCTGGTCTTGAATTCCTGGGCTCAAGGGATCCTCCCACCTCAGCCTCCCAAAGTACTGGGGTTACAGGCATGAGTTACTGCACCCAGCTCTTTGTATGTGTTTGTTGTTGTTGTTGTTTTGGAGACGGGGTCTCACTCTGTCACCCAGGCTGGAGTACAGTGGCATGATCTTGGCTCACCGCAACCTCCGCCTGCTGGGTTCATGTGATTCTCCTGCCTCAGCCTCCCAAGGAGCTGGGACTACAGGCACCACCACCATGCTTGGATAATTTTTATATAAAGGAGAGATGGGGTTTCGCCATGTTGGCCAGACTGGTCTGGAACTCCTGACCTCAGGTGATCCGCCTGGCCTTGGCCTCCCGAAGTGCTGGGATTACAGGCATGAGCCACCATGCCCAGCCTGTATGTTTCTCTAAGATTCATATTTTAACCCATTTATTTTAAAAAGATCCTTTGTATCACCACAAAATTCACAGTTCTTTCCAGAACTACTAAGGTAGGCAGTGCTCCCTCAGGTTGGCTCCCAAAGTCCTCCCCCTTCCAGGCCTGACTTGTGGTCCTCATGGTGGTAAGGGTTGCCCATCACCAAATCTGTTCTGCTCTTACTCCTTTAAGCTGTTGTATCTTGCTTTTTTCCAGAACCTCTTCACCTGTGGTTAAATCCTGAGCTCATGCTCCCCTCCTGGTGGACGCACACCTGACCGTTGAAGGCCTGCAGCACTCACTGGGGGCTTGAGGGAGCCCAGAGTCCCCTCCACCCTCGCCTCCTTCTCCTGGGTGCCCAGGAAATGTCTCCAAGGGAGGCTGTGACCCAGGACCCCGGCTCGACCTCACCTTCTTCTGTAAGGCGCAGTGAAAGACGAAGATGAAGACCCCCTGGAAGGCGTTGAAGGTGGTGAAGAGATAGGCCATGACCACTGACTCCTTATTGATAAAGAGGAGGCCGAAAGCCCAGGTGAGACCCAGCAGGAACAGCAGCGCGATGGCCCCCAGCGCCCAGGATCTGAGGGTGGAGAGATGGGGTGTCAAAGTACCCGCCAGAGGGGATGGCCTCAGCCTAGGCCTCCCTTGCAGCCTATAAGGGGGGGCCGCTGGGTGGGCCTGGGCACTGTCTGCAAAGCCCTAACCGAGCAGGGTGGGCGAGTGGGCCTTGGGGGCAGTGGCCTGCCCAGGACGCCTCCACCCTAGCCTGGGCCTGAGGGAAAGGTATTGGGTCAGGGGTTGGGGTTTTGTGAATATCAGTCATTCCTCTGCCAACTTTATTATTTTTGCCCAATTTCCAGACCACTTAGGCTACATCTTGCTGCCTATTTCTCTTTAAGTTGCCCTTAAACAGACTTACCTTTTGAATTTAGCCTCACTCTATGCAGTTATGCCCCTTAAAACCAGAGGCTGGACATGCTAATGATATGCTTTCTAAGACCCATTAAGTAGGTACATAGTGAATACAATAAAACACCCCTCTTGATACTTAAAATTGCAATGTGTGTCATCAGAGTTGACAGCACCACCTTTTTTGGACACCCTGGGAGAAGTGGGCCCAGCAAGGGGGGTGATGGGGTAGGGGGCAGGCAGGGGCGGGGCTCACTTAATGTTGTCCAGGCGGCTGGAGTCAGGCTTGAGCACAGATGAGCTTCGGATCATCTTGTGCAGGGTCACCATGAGGAACACCAGGTTGACCTGAGGGCCGGACAAGGGACGGGCTGGGCTGAGAGTGGCCCTGCGTCCCTTAGTGAGTGCTGAGGCTAGGGCCCGGCCTGGCAAAGTCTTGGCTGTAGCCCTCGCCTCTCCTGGGAGAACCCCGGAACTGCCCCTGAGGTGCCCAGCATGTTGCAGTGAGCTCATTTTACTGCTACTCCTGGGTGCTGGGAAGACAGGGCCCACGACCTGACACACGGTAGGGGCTCAAATCACAGCCCCCGGTGAGCAGCCCTCAGTGCTGGAGCTCCACAGACCCAGCGCACTCTTATTCTCTCAGCTGGTAACTCAGTTCCAGTGTTCGGGGGGAGTGTAGGGGGCAGGGGGCAGGGGCTGGGGTCAAGGACAGCCTGGATTAAGAAAGGAGATGAGGTGTCATCTCCCAACTCACCACGATAACGAAGGAGACGGGCCCAATGAAACTCCAGATGAAATAATTGTCCACTCGGAGCCAGCAGCTGTAAAGGAAACAGGGCCGGGTGTAGAGAGAAGCTGAGGGACCATTCCCTGTGATCTGTGAAGGCCCAGGACTCTAGAGGCTCCAGCCTCAGGGATGAGGAGGAAGGGAGGCCACTGCCCCGAGGGTCCTGGTCCAAGGGGTGCCACGGAGCAGGGAACCAGGTGGGAGGAGAGAACAGGTAGAGGGCCAGGAGGTGGGAACTCACGCCTTCTCGGTGCCATAGCTGCGGTAGTCAATGGCAGCCGCGATGCCCACCACCAGGGCTGGGAAGCAGTAGCCGCCCAGGTAGTAGTACTTGGTGCGGGAATACTCGCTCTCAAACACCTCCACCAGCAGCAGGTAGAGGTGCACGCCCTCCAGGCACAGCCAGGAGAAGGCAGCCAGGAAGAAGTAGTGCAGCAGGCCGGCGAAGATGGGGCAGGCGATCTGCAGGGAGCACCGAGAGTGAGGGCTGCTGCCTAGGCAGCCATCACACTTTCCTGGCCCCCAACCCAGGCACTGGCCATCACCTGCCCTCGAGTCCCAGCCCACCTCATACTGAGTCTTATCGATCCCAACCAGGAAGAGTAGCTCAGCCAGGAAGAGGTTGATGCACAGGTTCTTGTGGATGGTGTTGCGGTCAGTCTGCAGCCCCCGCAGGAAGCAGAAGGTGGAAATGCAGATGGCCAGGCAGACCAAGGAGATCACGATGCCCACCCAGGTGATGACTGACAGCAGCAGTTCGTTGATGCGGCCCTGGTACTGGGAATAGGAGCAGGGGCACGCTCAGGGCCTTTGGTTTTGCACGCTGGGTTCAGCTAGGTGCCAGCTGCAGGCAGGGCCCTGGGCAAGGCCACAGGCCTCAAGGACCTCCAGTGCCGCCAACCTGGCAGCCCCCACCCTCTGCACACAGCAGTGTGCTCACCTCATGCTCTGGAAGGCTTGTGGAGAGATGACCAACATGCCACCAACCTGCTTCTCCAGAGTGCCTTGGGAGGTGGGACCATGCCACAGAGGACCACAGAGAACCAGACGCATGGCCTCATGCCCCAAGCAAGACTAGGCACCCCCCAACGCCCACGAGGCTGGCCTCCCCTGGCACTTCCCATGACCTCTAGGATGCCATGCAAAGCCAGGCCAGCAAGCAGGCCCGCCCGGAGAAGCAGAGTGCCAGCCAGCTTACAATCTCGCGGTGAGCCATGAGCACGGCGAAGTTGGTGAGGTGGCTGCAGGCACACGTGGTATGGGTCTTGTTGGACTCCACCAGGCGGCAGCCCTGGGTCGACCAGTAGCCCAGCATGGAACGCTCCGAGTAGTTCCAGAAGGAGCAGTTAGCATTGAAGTGGTTCTTGTCCTGTTGTGTGGTGGCGCCGGGGTGTCAGAACTGGAGTCAGAACCAGGGAGTCCCATTCTGGCCCCCCACACCTGGCTACAGGGATGGTGCCAAGTATCAAAGAAGTGCCTGGGTTTCGGGACTCCCTCTGACATCCTGAGAGCTCGGGGGACAAATGGCCCAAGCCACTCAAGTGGAAGAACCCAAAACTTGTTCTGGAGATGAGCACATGGTGTGGGGGCAGGTACACAGCCAGGGAACAGAGGGTACAGCAACCCCCCTGGAGGGAGGGGGCATCTCAGCTCACCTCCAGGTGGGCCACGGTGAAGATGACAGGGTCCATGAGGAAGACGCGGCTGGACTCCTTGTTGATGGAGGCTGCGATGACCTGTGAGTTCACCACCAAAGAGGCACCCCCGGGGCCACCCGGGCCTGCTTCCCCAGCCAGCTTCACCGTGGCGTTCTCCGTGGACAGGAAGAGACCCAGGTTGTTATAGAGGATGAAGACAACTTTGACCACCCCTGGCGAGGACAGGCATGATTGGATGTGTCAGCATCCTCAGCTGGCACACCTCTGTCCAGGCCCCTGCCCTCCCAGCTTAGCCAGCTCCTCAGCCCTTAGCCACACCAGTCACTGGGACTACTGAAGCCAGTCCACAGCCCAGGCAGGTGGGAGTCAGGGAGCCCTGTCCACAAGACCGCTGCTCAGCCGAAAGCAGTTCTGAACAGCAGGGCAGTGTGACGGGACACAAGGGCTGAGCCCCCGACCCACCCATTCTCACCGTGTCACCTTGGGCAAAGCCCTGACCTCTCTGAGCTATGAGGCCCAGGAGCCAACTTGGCAAACAGGCAGGGGACCCACGAATCCCCTGAAATTTTACACTAGCATGGGAAAAGTTCGGGACCACTGCCCTCCATAAACGACGCAGAAACAGTGGCACAGGGCTGATGGGGGTCTGTCTCCCCACCCAAGGCCCCCAGGGGCACTGACCATTTCGGCTGTTCTGCTTGATGGTTTTGGCAGACAGCTGGATGGAGTTCTTTCTTGGGTACTCCTCCTGGGGGAACACCAGCTCCTGCACCTGGCCCTCTGTGTTCAGGACTGTGACCTCCAGGACTGTGGGGACAGGGGAAGGCAAGGCACACGCAGTTGGGGTCTGTCCCTGGTCCGCAGGCTCAGGCTGTATAATGAGACCCTGTGGCAAGGCGCCCAAGGGCTGGGTATCCCCCTGTGACCTCCAGGCCAGAACCCTGTGGTTTAAGGTTTGTGTCTGAGTTTGCCCTAGGTGACCGAGGCACTCACCCACGTTCTCCTTGGCAGCCAGAAAGCGGGCAGGCTCCCTGACGTTGTCAGCCAGTAGGAAAGCACCCTCCTCCAGGACGTCCAGGAGCATGGTGGCCGTGTGCACCTGCTCTGTGGCGTTCATGTCCTTCCAGGACTCCAGAGCTTCTGGCCGGAGCAGATTGTCCACTGTCTCCACCACAGCCTGCGCAGGCAGGGGGATGGTGCTGTGAGGCCCCTGTAATACCCTCCAATTCATCTGGGTGGGCTCTGTGTGCCCTCTTCTCAACCTCCAACCCTATTCCCTGGCCCTCCACAGCCCCCATCAGCTGGAGCCCACAGTCCTTACATGAACCCCTTGGTTCATATACCTTGATATAATCCTTGCAAGTTCTCTCTCGCTTGTGCATCTAAAAAGAGATGGAGATGATGTCAGGCCAGGCCCCTGGGCACCGGTTCCCTAACCCCAGTACTGTCATATCTGGATAGCTTTGTCATCTATGGCTACCACTGATCCAGGGCTGAGCTATGAGCAAGATATTTCCTCAGGGATCCCCAGCCCCCAAGACCATCTGGGGCAGCACAGGAGTGAGACCCAGCAGTCCTTGGGGTTCTTTCCTCTCTGAGGAAGTGAGAGAGGGTGACAGCCTGGCTGAAAGGTACCAGGTCGGATACTTCCGGAGACCCTGGGGGCAGGTGTCCTCCCTGCACCAGGTCAGCCCCACCACCAGGTCCCACCTTGTTGTAGTTTTTGCCAGCTGACTCGCGCTCGATGGGCCGAAGGGCCTGCAGCTGGGCGTCCAGGATGTCCAGCAGCTGCTCCATGAGCTTCACGGAGGAGGAGACGTCCCCCGCGTAGATGGAGCCCCGGGTGTGTCTGGCCAGCTCGCTGGCAATGTTGGCCGCATTCTCTCCACTCTTGATCTGTGTGAGGTGGGGGGTGGGGAGGGAGAATCCCAGGTCTGTCAGGGACCATCCTGCCCTCCCTGGGTTCCCTGGCCTGTGCAGCCTCTCCCCTCTTTCTCTGCTTCCCTGTTGCTGCCTGCCCTTTCCCACCCCATCTTTCCCTGTTCCCTCTAGGCTGGGGAGGTAACCCCACAGTCCTGCCTTCCAGACCTGCCAGCCCGTCTCCCCAGTTGCTCCATAACCCCCGCTGGGCCCTGGGCCTGAGCACATGTGCCTGCCTTTGAGGGGCAGTGGCTGGTACCTTCTGGGCCACCTGGTTGACCCAGGGGGAGGTGCAGTTGCTGAGGTCAGGGCCCCGGGGGTTCCAGAGCCCCAAGGCTGGTAGACACTGGAAGGAGGCAATTCCTGCAGGGATAGACAGACAGAAACAGGAAGAAGAGAAGGATGGGATGAAGAGAGGGAAAGGAGATGACAGAGCAAGGGATGAGCGAGCGAAGAGAGAGAGGTGAGGGAAACACAGAGAAACACATATGAAGCGGGCCAGACAGTCAAGAGAGGCGCCACTCACTTCTCCTTGAGCTCTCCCTCTTGCCCCATCTTTGCCTCCAGAATTAGAACCTTCCATCAAGGCTCATCTCAGAATGCCCCTCTGCCCCCTGCCCACAAAGCACCTGCCAACCCTCCCCTGAGAT